CACAGTGATTCATTAAAATTGTAAGAATATGCTGAAATCTGTGTTGTCTGATATAAGTATGACCTCGCTGGCTGTTTAAAAGAGATATTTTTTGAAATAATGTTTTCCAGCCATTGGTTTGGGCCTGTGTTTGCCTTGACTGTTCAAGTGTGTCTCCCATTGGCAGCAGAAAGTTGGGTCAAGTTTCAAGTTTTATAATGCATACTGCCACTCTGTGTCTCTTGATTGGCACATGTAGGCTATTGACATTGAGTGCGATTATTGAACTTAAGTTTTTTGCCATCTTTCTGTGAGGTTAAGCATGTTTGTGAGATTTATCTTGTCTCAAAGAATTCCCTTTAAGTGCTTCTTGCAAAGTTGGTTTCATAACTATGAAGTGCCTGAGTTGTTACTTATCTTCAAAAATGTCTCTTCTTTCAGATCTGAATGTTAATCAAGCTGGGTAGAAAGTGTTCTTGGTGAGGAGTTCATTTCATTGAATATTTTAAATCCTTTTCTTGTGGTCCACAGAGTATTACTTGATAAATCTGCTGTGAATCTTAAGAATGTTCCTGTGTATGTAATTTCCTTCTTTGGTATTGCTGTTTTCAGTATTCTCTCTCTCTCTATACATAGCATTCATCATTCTGATTATTGTGTCTTGAAGTATTTTTGTTTGTGTCTCTTTTGGCTTATACTCTTTTGGCCTCTTGAATCTGGATATATGCATTCCTCAACTCTAGGAACTTCTCTGCTATAATTTCTTTGACTAATAATTTGTAATCTGAATTGCCTTCCTGTTACTTAGGGATTTCTATGATTCTTATATTGTTCCTCTTTAATGCATTCCATAGTTTACTCATGTGTTGTTCATTTATCTGGAGATCTTTTTCCATATTCTGTTGTTTTCTAGAGATTTCCTGCATCCACTGATTTTATCCTTGACTGCTCTTGTTCTGCTGCTAATACCTCCCAATAAGTTTTTATTTCACCTGCCAAATTCTATAGCTCTGTCTCTTCTGATTATAGTTTCCTCATTTCTAACCTGATGCTTTATTGCACTTGCATTATTTTTTGTGAAGCTCATTAAACAGCCTCAACATGTTTTCTGTAAATTCCTTATTAAAGAGGTTGTAGAACTGATTAGTACAAGTTGAGTCTTCTATGCTATCTTCACTCATTGATTGTGGTGGTCTTCCATACTGCTTCCCTATTGCAGTCTGCAGGGTGAGTCTTTCTAACTCAATAGTGCCACTGTCGGGGACTTTTTCAGAGGAACCAGGTAGGATTGCTCTCTTCCTTCCTTTTTAAAGTTATTCCCACCAAACTTGTTGTTACTAGCTGTTTAGAGTTTCACATGATGGTTTCAGGAATGCTGCCACTATTCAAACTATAATTTAGAGTTCTAGCATTTCTTACTACCACGGTTACCTTTGTGGTTTTTTGTGAGAACAGAAAATCAGAGCTAGGATTAAGTCAATGGGAGCACCAACCTGCTCTAGACGAAGTTCATTGGAAGAACATAATGTTTGTTACCCTTGAGATATGAAGAAGGGTTCACACCTGACTATGTGCAGAGCCCACTTCTGATTCTGTACGCACGGCTCACTCTTGACAGTGCTTAGAGGACCATATACAGTGACAGGGATCAAATCTAGCTTGGCCGTATCTAAGTGCCTTTTCTGCATTACTATTCTATCCAGCCCCCAAGGTGTTTCTTTTAAGATTCCTCTCAATCCAGGGAAATAGCTCAAAGGACTAGAGTGTGTTACTAGGTTGGAGCTCCAGGTTTTATCTCAGCACCTCATGGTCCACCAAGTATGGTGAGAGTGACAAATTTACCCAAAACTGAAGCAGAAGTAGCCCTTGAGCACCACTGTGTGATCCTCAAACAAACACCTCAAAACAAACAATAAACACACACACACATGCACACACACACACACACACACACACACACACACACCTCTCTACTCTCTCTACTCTCATCATCGTGTGTTAGTGAAGTTTATTCACTCTCATATCTTCATGAAAACTCAAAGTAACTTTATATGGTTTTTTCATTCCACATAGACAGTGGATCCTACTTTAAGCCAAGAAACTTACAAAATGGGAAGTATAATGGTAAGAATACACTTCATGTTTCCACAATAAGCTGTGGAATATTACTATCTCCCCACCCCCTTCCCTTCTGCCTTGTACTTTTGTATAAGTAAACCTCTTTTAACCAATGCCTAATTAACCATAATGGTTTAATAGTTCTAGTTACTACTCTTCACTGTTTTTAATATTTTCTCAAAAATTTCATCAGTAAAAGGTCAAATATTAAGAAAATGGATGGTAGCAAGACTTAGTACTTAAAAGATTCTGAAAACTATTTATGATCAATGAATAAGTATTCTGGGATTAGTATAGATTCAGTTCAATCTCCTTTACATGACTTAAATCAGTAGCTATGGAAACTCCTACTTGAAATTTATTATAATAAGCCTGAAATGATGACCTCAGTCATCCAAGAAAGACTCATCTGTGCTCAGGATGGTAATGAGCTTAGGCTGGAAAGGGAACTAATAATACCTCCTAGAAGGATTTAAAACAAAGGTCAAAGCAAAGGTTCCAAGAACATTTTGAATAGCTGTTTAAAAAACTTATTAAAAAATTAAAACATCTACTGCACTGCACTGCATATACACATAGAGAAAATGATATAATGATCCAGCAGTTTCATAAAATTTAAATTCAGTAGGCAAAACAAGAATATATCCTGGGAAGTGTCCTGTACTTCTAGGTTGCTTTATGTCATTAAGATATAAAGTCCTATTGTCCCACTTAAGGTGATACTAAAACTCATGACTGACTTGGTTGTTTTTTTCCCATCCTTCCATTGTAAGGCATCTGTTCCTTGATGGAATTGTCTTGATCAGAGTTCCTCAACCTTTTTCCCACCCTGGCCCCTTTCCAAATTTTTTTCCTCCAAGACTTGTGCTGTGGCCTAGCATTTATGCAATTTTTAACCTGCGTGCCCCTCTCCCCCCTTGGAATATACTGATATTCCATATTCTCCTTTGTTAAGAAATGCTGGTGTGGCTCGGGGCCTCACAGGATAGGGGGTGGAACTGGCCCTTCTCCCCGACCTGACGAGACTCTGAGACTCTGAGTTGCCGCCCACAAATGGCTCCTCTGGCTCCTGAACGGCCATGATCCCAGAGGCACACAAACCAATCTTGGAACCCAGAGGCTTCTAGCAGAAATCCCCCTGGACTTAATTACTAAAATATTAGAAATCCAAAATCACACTGCCACAACATCATATGCTCTTCATAATCAGCAATAGAAAACAAATTATCTAATGATGCCTTTTTGGCAGGTCTGATTGTTGGGGGGAAATTCCAAATAATAATGGTGACTCTTCTGTCGAAAAATTGAATGTAATCAAAGTAGAGAGGGAGTAAAGTGGAAATCATCTGCCACACAGGCAGGGGGAGGGGTGGGATGGGGAATATATTGGGGTTCTTTGTGGTGGAAAATGTGCACTGGTAAAGGGATGGGTGTTTGATCATTATATGACCGAGACTTAAATCTGAAAGCTTTGTAACTGTTCTCACGGTGACTCAATAAAAAAAAAAATGCTGGTGTGAGGCATTATCTAATGTAATAGCTCATAAAGGTGAGTTCTATTTTTACCATCCATTCATTTTGCATTCATTCATGGAAATTTCTCCATTGAAATTTCTCTCATTAGCATTTAGAACACTTGAGACGGGAAGTACCATTTTATAGCACTGGAAGGTCAGGGTCTTTTCACCTTCATTCCTACCCTTTCTCAACCTGCCTTCATGGTGGGGTCCTATCATTCAAATTCATGGTCACTCAAAACAAATCTTGGGGGAAGGCTGTCTTTTTTTCATTTTATGCATTTATTTATGTACTTATTTATTTGTTTGGGGGTTACACCCTGTAGTCTTCAGGGAATTACTCCTGGCATTGAGCTTCGGGGTCACTCCTGGAGGTGCTCTGAGGACAATGTATGGTTCCAGGAACCTAGCAGGAATCAGCCAAGTGCAAGGCGAGTGCCTTACTTACTGTGCTGTCTTTTTGGTTTGGGCAGGGTAAGGCTTGGGGGACATGTCTTTAAACTCTGCTTGCTAAGGTCATTTGTGAAATGCTTTTGTCCCTGCACCCTAGTGTTTATATTATTTTTCTTGGGAAAAGGTGTATCTCTTTCTTTCCTACACATACCTTTCTCTTTAATAAAAGCTCCTGAAACCAATCAAATAGAAGTGACAGTAGAGGTGCTGCACTGAAGGAAGAGTTACGGATTTTGCGTTCATTCCTCAAGTATTTTATGATTTGTGCTTAATACAAGAACCTCCCAGAGATGACATTGCAAGGATAGGTGTAAATATAAATTCTAGATGCTGAGAGGTGATATATGGTTTCCTCCTTCCTTTATGGCAGACTTATTGTAAAGATGTGCCCAGTTATTGATATATGGACAGATAGCTGCTGTGGCACTGGGCCTTGTGTATCTTGGTAAGGATATACTTGATGTTTCTACAGTACTCCTTTGGTCCTACAGGAAGGAAACTTATCTTATGTCTATAGGAGATTCCCACTGTGCTATTAATTACATATATAAAATACCCAATTCAAGGGATGTTTGGCACCTTATTGTACTTTATTTTTGCGGGTACAGTGATACAGAAGTAGGAGCAGATTGGGAATTATTTGAAAGAGAAAATAAATACAGGTATTATTTTTTCTATTTTCTATCATCTCTTGAGTCGTCTCTAAACTTAGAACTTGGTGACTCCTTTATGGCAGAGGAAAATATTTCTGGGATATAATGTTTGGATATAAAGGAGAGAAATTTCATTCTCAGAAACTTTTTAGGTTGACTCCTTTAGGGAAGAGGACTAAAGACAATATTTAAGAGAGTTTGGCGAATCAGGTCACCAGATAAAATGCAGGCTACTAAGCCTAGTGCTGAATTTTACATAACAAGGACATATTTTTAGTAGGTTTACCTCCAATATCAGCAGCACATATACTAAAATTGGAATGATACAGAGAAGATTAGCATGGCCCCTGTGCAAGGATGACACGCAAATTCATGAAACTTTTCATTATTTGTTCTTACCAATATACCATACAGGCTGGAGCCATAGCACAGTGGGTGGGGCATTTGCCTTGCACATGGCCAACCCGGGTTCGACTCCTCCATCCCTCTCAGAGAGCCCAGCAAGCTACTGAGAGTATCTGCCTTTATAGCAGAGCCTGCAAGCTCCCTGTGTCGTATTTGATATGCCAAAAAACACAGTAACAACAAGTCTCACAATGGAGCCAACTGGTGCCTGCTCGAGCAAATTGATGAACAATGGGAGGACAGTGCTACAGTGCTGTTGTATGTGAGATTTTTCTACCAAAATTTTCAATTATTTATCTGAAATTCAGTCTGAATTTTACTCTTATACTTTTATTTGATAATTCTGGAAATTCTATTGGGAGGACTGAGGACACGAATATGAAAGTTGTTCGTGATGCCACATGTAGAGTCTCCAGTCTTTAATTATCGTAGAAAAACTCAGAGGAGTGCTAGTAACCATGAATATTACTATACAACATGCTGACATTCATCAGAGTAAAGCATGTTGTTCCTTAATAGATAAACCTTTTAATGACCCTCTTACTGTTTAAAACTGAACATCAATAGCAGTTGTTTTATTGGGGAGGGGGTTCTTCAATATAATCAGTCTTTCTCACTGAGTAATTTCTCAGGTATTAGCTTGAAAACAATGAAAACCTAGGAGCCAGGATCTTTAGCTTTCACCAGGTGAAATGGATATTAAATAAAAGCTAGATTAACTTGTTTGAAAATCCATGGAATAACACACTCTGAAACTTGATTTTTTTATGACATGGTAAAGAATTAAAGAAGTTAAAGGAAGCATTAGTATATATTTGCTTTAAAAGTTTTTGCATGGAACAGATCATATCAAATCAATACTATTGGTGATTCCCTGAGAAATTCATATCGGACTTTTTGGATGTTCAGTATTAGAATTATCAATCATGTCTAGAGATATTCTTGTCCTACTCCCATCTTATAGTATATGTTGTCCCATTTATTTTTGTAGTGTATGTCAGCCTGAAATGGAAACAGGGAGATGGCTGCCCAACAATATTTATGTGAGGCGAGTCTTTCTTGTAAGATAAAGAGGTACGGTTTGATACCATTGAGCATTCAGGGATTTAAGGCTTTATCTCTGCTTTTGCAAGCCGTATTTCCTTTGTGTCAATCTTGTGGGTCTCTCAGAGCCTATGTGTTTATAAAACATGCCTGAATGCTCAGGTTGTTGGTTAGGGTGGTGAATAGTAACTCCTCTAAAACTGGACCAATCATAATACTGCACTGTCCTTAACACTTCCTGTAATTATTTAAAATGTTTCCAGTATTTTTTTTTAATTAACAAATTCCTTCCCCCCACCCTGCCCCACCCCATACCACTGCAAGCCAATAACTTCAGTTTGGATTTCTAAGACTTTCAATAAAAAAAAGCAGTTATACAACCAGAATTTTAAAAAAATTAACAAAATATGATATATAGTACTCACTTCGGCAGCACATATACTAAAATTGGAATAGTACAGAGTAGATTGGGCATGGCTCCTGTTTAAGGATGACATGCAAATTCTTGAAGTGTTCCATATTTTTGTTTGCTACTCAATGCCTCTTTTGCAAACCTCAGCACCCAAAAGGAGAGAGAGAATAAAAGGGAATGCCCTGCCACAGAGGCAGGATGAGATAAGGGAGATGGGGGTGGGTGGGAGAAATACTGGGATCATTGGTTGTGGAGAATGGGCACTGGTGGAGGGATGGGTACTTGATCATTGTATAACTGAAACCCAAGCACAAAAATTTTTAAGTCTACAACTGTACCTCATGGTGTTTCACTAATAAAAATTAAAAAAAAATGATGTATAGGGGCTCAGAGATAGCTCAATGACTCGCTGGAGTATGTGCTTTGCATGTGAATGTATGTGTGTGTGTGGGTGGGGGGAGGGAGGTGGGGAGTGGAATCTCTAAACTCAATCCCTAGCACTGCATTATCCCTAAGTACCACTGGGGGTGACCCATGAGCACAGAGTGAGGACAAGCCCCTATGAAAGGTCCATTCCACAGTCTAGCTTCATTTTTCTTTTGACTCACAAACAACTCAATTTTTTGATATTATCGTCACAGTGGAAAAACTCCACAGCCACATCCTTGAGTTGTTTGTGGGTCAAAAGAAGAATGAAGCTAGACTGTGGAATGGACTAGATTCTTAAAGCCACTCAGGAGAGAGATACTTTGTGGGATGAATGTGAAAAAGGTCCTGCAGGAAATAAAATAGTTTTTGAGGGGAAAAGATGTGGAACTTGGTACACCAGCAGGGAGTTCTAGATATCTACACAAGTGTGATTTTTTGATGGGCCCCTACTATGAGTCTCAGGTGTACCTTTCTGTTCTAAAGTCTCCGGATGATTTTTTTTTATATATAATGTAGGAGTACTATTTATTCAGCATTGATTAAGCTGATTGAATTGGTCATGAACTCCACATTACTTTTTTATTATTCAGAATGTTAATTTTATTTTATTATTCTATTATTATTCCCCCCTCTCTTTTTTGATTCACTGTGAGATAAGTTACAAAGCTTTTATGTTTGAGCTTCAATCACTATATTCTATTCATAATAAGCAATACAAAACAAATTATCTAGCATTGCCTTTTTGGCAGGTTTAAGTAGTCTCTGGATGATTTGTATCTCTGAGGAGTCATGAGCTCTATGGTGAAAATAACCTCAAAACACCTTTTTGAAGTAGCAAGTGGGAGGACCCATTTCCTTGTCCAGGGACCAGAGATGAATATCAGAAGTTGGCCTTCTGAAGGAGGCCAGCAGAAGTAAAGGCAAGCAAAAGAGAACTTCAGATGAATATAAGGAAGGAAGAGTACAAGAAAAGATGTATGGTTGACTCATTCCATCCATGCCAAATTAAAGAGAAGACAACTTAGGGGCATATTCCTTGAAAAATCTAGTCTTATTGATAAAAAAAACACATGCACCCTCATAGATTAGTATCATGGTAACTGTGTGATAGTATAAATTATATTAATCATTTGACAATAGCTACCCAATTATTTGACAGCTAAGTCTTTCTATTTTTTACTATTCTTAATAATTGGAGTATATTTTTAAAAATAATTTTAATGCCCATGTTATCTATTCAGATTATCTATCTCCAATTATCTATTCAGAATAAATTGTAGAAGTGAAATGAAATTCAGAGTATAAATTAATTTAATGGGTCTTTATACCTACTTCCATTGTAGTAATTTATGTATATGTCAACCCAGATTACATAATAGTTCCTATCGTAATTATAGTATTATAAGTCTTGAGTATTATTTCTAAAACGAGATTCTTTGCATGAGTGAAAATGGATTTGTTTTGAGTTTTCCATATAGTTTTTGCTCTATTGATATAATTTATTAATAATTCTTTATTACACTTCTTAGATAACCCTTATTTTGTGGTAACGGAATTGTTTTTAAAAGAGCAAACTGGTTTATATTTTATAACAGAAATATTTTCTGGGTAGAAAGTAAAGATAAATATAAAGTAGAAATTAAAGTTTACCAGCCATCTTCTCCCCTAGAGACAACTACTATTGAAACTTTGCTGTAATTATATTTAGTTTTTTTTTAAAAAAAACAGTTAATTTCAGGTGTTTTATAGCATGATTTGTTAATCAAAATCAATCAAGGTACTAAAAATATGCAAATAATCAGATATCATTTGTGGAAATTCACAAGCATGAGGTCTTAAAAACTGTTTTTATAGCTGTGTTTCATGGTACTGTATTTAACATAGCAAGAGATGATTAACATTAAATTGATAACTAATTTTATATTATAAAACTAACACAAAATTGATAATTAATTTTGTTAGTTTTATGTTTATGTCAAGCCCTGTTGTTTCCTTGATGTATTTTTGTTGTCTATAAATAACGATGTTATACATGATCATGAAATTCCTGAATTGTTATAGCTACCTTCTAATTCAGTGCCATCACCATCTTTTTGGCTCTAGTGCAAAATCCTTATTCAGAATCAAAATGGGGTCATCACATAATCCATAGTTTAAAATCATTTAGCACTCTTTTATTGTTCTTGTGTTGATATCCAGAATTTTAAACATAAATCACTATGTTTTCTGTGACCTAGCCTTCTGATAACTTTTTAAGTCCTAAAGCCCTCCTTCTCTTAATCTTCTGATCTTGATGCTCCCTCTGCTATATGATCCCTGAATATATAAATATTTATTTCTCCATTTGCCCCAAAGAAAACTTTTTACCTACTATAATTATTTTTTTACAATGCAATTTATTTAGTGAGTTTTTGCCCAGTTGTTTGAAGTCTGAACTTCTCTATATTATCTTCTATAGAGTCCCATGCTTTGAGGGAACTCTTTTCTCTAGGTCTGGGGAAACTTCTGAAGTCAAGCTCAGTTTTCTATAGCACCATATCTAAATCATTATGGCTTTATGCTGACATCTTATATATACTCTTCAGTTGCATATTCCATCAAACCATCTGTATTTTTTCAGCATTATGATATAGGTGGGTGCCAAGTATTTGTTGGAGTACATTCTTTATAATGTTAATGATTATAAAAGAATAAAGTGCAAGTGGTTGATAGTTGTCCGAAGTCCAGCCTACACCACCTTAGGAATGTTAGTAAGATTCATCCTGGACATTCTTTACTTTCATCCTGGATTGATGCTCTTTCTGTCTTAGGAAAAGTTATCAAATGCAACATAGACAGGGCCTTTTCTCTGAGTCTACCTTATCTTCAGGTGATGATAGAGTTTTCCAAATTTTGCCATGGGAATGCTGTACTTCTTTGATCTTGAAGTTTTCTCCCATATTTATATGAAAGGAAAGCTTGAAAGAAGAAACATATTTAATGCCAACTGACCTGAAAAAATTGCAATTATTTTCATTTATCCACTTTACTGGAATATGCTTATTATGATCCTCTTATACACAACTGTCTGATTTCTAACCTTTTATTTTTTTGTTTTGATTTTGGAATATGCCCAGTGGTACTTAGGGGCTAGGCTACTTCCACACTCAGGGATTACTCCTGGTGGTGCTCAGGGAAAAATATATTGGCATATGCAAGGCAAGTGACTTAATCTCTTGTACTATCTCTCCAGCAACTCTAGCTTTCTATTTTCAGTTAATTTTTGCTTACGGGATATATTTTCAGAAATAAAGTGTCATAACTAACTGGAATGTCTTTATTTTGCTTCATATATAAGTAAAATTTTTATTAAGTAAAAAAATATTAAAAAATGGGCCAGGCATATGATTCAGTGGCAGATTACTTGCTTCACATGTATAAGGCCTTGGTTTCAACTACTGACACTATATGATCCCCTCTACTGCCAACAGTAAGCCCCAAACCAAAAAGTATTCATAAGTTGTGTAGTAACTTTCCCCCTTCAGACTCTGTTTATCTGTTGTTCTTTGGCCTTTTTTTATAAAGAGAAAGCAAACTTCATGTTTTCCCCTGGTAACTCACATTTTTATTTTCCTGTGAGTCTAGTGTGATTTATTTTTATTTATCTTGATTATTATTTTTCTAATAGGTACTATTGGTTCTTAATTTTTCCTAAAATTAAGTAATCAAATCATTTAGTTTGCATTCCCAAACCTTTCTCCACCTACAGCTCCCATTTTTCTGGGAAGTAATTCTCAGTCATATCTGCTGCGCTTGTTTATTTATATGGGTGTCTCTTCAGAAACATTTATAATTCTTAAATGGGATCTTCATGTAAATTTTGAGGGTTTTTTTAATGTCTGAGGGATGCTTTTGTATAGAGAATAACGGTTGTGCTGTTATTCAAGATGTCAGTTTAATATTCACTCCATTAAAACCACAGAATTTTATGATACTAGTTTTTCTCAAACCTTTAAGTTCACCTTACATGCTTCATCATTTTATTTATGTATCTAGTAAATTTTAACAATTGCTTTCAAAGGAGTGTTTGAATAATATTCCATCAATTTAAGTTGAAGATTCTCAATTCCTAAAGCATGTCCTTTTACAACTTAGTTAATAAAACCCTCTTAAGTATTTAAAATTCATTTGTATATTTAATACATTCAGTCTTCTTTTTAAGCTTTTCAAATGTCTGACCTACCAGCCAAACCTTAACAACTCCAGCAAATCTAATAAATTAACTTTAACAAATCACATGTTCTCCTAAGCATTCCAATACTTCTGAACTTGATTAAATTCTCTAAATCTTTCAATTTAAAGGTAAAACTCTAAAAATCCATCACCCAATTTTCCTTTCTAAATTGGATTCTAGAGCTAATCCTTCATATCCACTAATATGCCTTATGTTCTTTTTTCTTCTTTATTTCTGTTTAGGGCCAGGCCCAATGGTGCTTAGACAGGGATCACTCTTGGCTGATTTGGGGACTATAGGGGGTGCCAGGGACCAAACCCATGTAAGCTGTGTGCAAGGCAAGAGTCTTACCCCCATACTATCTCTCTGCTCTTAATAGGCTCTGTGTTCTTAAACATTAAAACCGTTCAGTATACTATATACATTAATGGTATATAGTTCACGATTAGAAACCTATTCCTCAACTTCCCT